GTGCCTCTATTCAGGAAGTGACTTTAAAGAGCTGGAGGAAATCAGCAGCACTGAGATGCAAAAGAGGATAAAAAAAGAATGTAATAAAGAAAAAAAAGAGCAAATGTGTATGATACGTGGTGCTCTATCAAAGTGAATGTCATCCAGTTGGGGTTCATGTCTACTTTAATCTGATTGTCTTCCTTTCTATTGCTATAGGCTGCCTGCTTATAAAAAGGAGCATTCGCCTGTCTGGACTTGCCCAGATCCGCGGAACATTTGCTGGCGACAATTGTCTCTTGGCTTCGGTCATGTTAGGGATCAAGGATGATAACTTCCCCTTCGTCTTCCTGGAGATCATCTTAGCCCTGGGCATCGTTTCTCTGAATGCTTTGGTCTGTGCCACCGTCTACCTGCACAAGGAATTGCGGTCAATCACCAACTTCCTGATCGTCAGCTTAGCGGCTGCAGACATTGGCGTGGGGGCCGTGGCCATTCCCTTCTCCATAGTGTTGAGCATGGAATACATACTTTGCTTTTACACTTGCATCTTCATCACCTGCTTCCCGCTGGCCACTACCCAGTTCTCCATCCTGCTCCTCCTGCTCATCGCGGTCAATGCCCACCTCAAGATCCGCCTACCAAACAGGTAAAAGAAGGATAACCTGATATTTCAGTGTTTGGGAGATCTTAGAGAGGTAAACCACCTGATAGGTTTTTTTTACATCTCTCTGAGACCCTGTTGGTAAGACCTTTCTTCTGAGTTCCCAGGTCTACATGTCTGCTGTGGCCATTACAAGGGGCTTCTTTTATTTATCTTAAAGTGGATGTTCAACCTAGAATTACCCAATGACCATTAAACAGCCATATAACACATGTGCCTTGATACACGCATAGCGCCATGTTTGACTTCTGTCCATGCTCTGATTGTCTACAAGCCATTTTCTTGCAAAACCATGCAACTCATGGTGTCCCTCAGCCCCTCCATGATATCTACGCCTTGAGTGCAAAGCCTGATTGGGAAACTCTTCCTCTGTGTCTTGATGCTGTTGAAGACCTACGTCTTTTACAGCATCAAGGCACAGAGGAAGAGTTTCCCAATCAGGCTTTGCAATCAAGATGGAGGGTCTGATGAGTTGCATGGTTTGGCAAGTAAATAGCCGACACACAACCAGATATTTTTTGGTTTTGGGTTTAGATATGCATAAAATGTTGCCCTGGAGATCTCAGTCCACCTAACAATGTTGGTATTGTGTTTTGCAGCTACTCAGTATATGTGACCAACAGACGGTTAGCTCTTGCGGTTCTGCTGTGTCTCCTCCTCTCCTGTCTAATTGGCTTCTCCCCCATGATGGGTTGGAACCAGTTCCAGCAATATGTCGGCAGCAATCGAACTCACGTAGCCTCTGAAAGGTCCATGGGCAGCTTTGAGAGGTCATTTCTGGTCAACTCCTTGCCTCGTAGAGCAAGAGATCTCTCCAGCGCCTACTTTAGCCACAAACATGTCACCAGTAACAGCAGTACACAAGGGGACCACCTAGGCTGCTGTTCCCTCACTTCTGTCTTCACCCCAGAGTATCTCGTCTACTTTGTGTTCCTTGGATGTACTCTGTCGCCTCTGCTAATCATGCTGGCTATCTATGCTGATATCTTCAGGGTGGTCCGCGGTCATCTCAGGTCCTCCAAGAAACGGGAGATAAGCATGGCTTGGACTATGATGCTCCTCGTGGGCATTTTCTGCTTGTGTTGGATCCCACTCAATGCCATTAACAGCCTGAGGCTCTTATGTCGGTCGTGCTTTATTCCAGTGCCCATTATACGCTTGGCTGTGATCTTTTCGCACATGAACTCCTTTGCTAACCCGCTCGTCTATGCCATGAGGAAGAAGAACTTTGGTGCAGCACTCAGATCCGTGTTCCTCAGGCTTGTTGCCTGTTTTCCCATCCCTAAAGTGCTCTGCTATAGGAACAAGATTCACCCAGAGACTGGATAAGGCGTGCACATATTGTGAAAGAGAGTTTAATGTCTATGTAAACCCTGACAATGTTTCTTGTGTATGTAAACTCTAACAATGACCCTTATTAGCTCCCTTACAGTCTGGTAGATATACCTTTGTAAATGTTGGGTTGTATCCATTCGATAAGTGCAAAAAATAACAGTTTATCCTAAATATTCAACATTTTCCTGTGTCCTCTGTACTTTACTGTCTTCTTTAAAGCAGTCTAATCAGCCCTCCCAGTTCTTCTCTT